AAAAAAAAAAAAAAAGAAAAAAGAAAATAATCAAAATCACTTTTCAAAATATGTGCAAAGACGTTCACTATACCATTAGCTATAAGGACACATTAGGAAACATCCAGATGCCCAGAAATAGGGATTTGGTTAATTTTATTATCCTATAGCCATACAGTGAAATACTGCACAGCCCTTAATATGTTACTTATGGACATGAGCAAAAAAAAGAAAAATACTTATGATATTAAGTGTAAAAGAACCCTCAGAGGACATATTCATAAACACACACACACTCAGAGATACATAAGATATGTACATGCAAGAAAGTCTTGAAAGAATATACCAAATTTTAGCAGCAGTTCTCTGGAATTTATGACATTATAGGCTATTTTTTAGTTTCTATAAAATATTCTATATTTTTTCAAGTTTTCTATAACTCACATGCTTTATTCTTAGAATTTAAAGAATTTAAATTTTTCTTTATGAAATTTCTCCTAGGGTAGGAGTTTCCTTCAGAATCACCAGGAGCTTCAAGCCTCAGCTTTTACCTTCGATGACCATGGCTGCAACCTTCTCTTGGCCAAGGGCTGTGTTGTGAATGGTGCAGGACACATTCCCCAGTGCACTGTCCCTGACTCTACTGAACACTGCTGTTTGAAAGAGCCCAGCGTTGTCCAAAGAGTGGGCCTCTGACAGGGACGGAAGCACCAGGCCTTGAGGGTCTCTCCACTCAGCCCAAGGCTGTGGGAACCATCCCACTGATCTACACACCAGCAGGATCCATCCAGCGTCATATCCCTTCACATGGATATAAGGATCAGAACCTAAAACTGAAGAGGAGAGACTGCTTGGATGAATCAGCCCAGAAACAGACCAGCAGGGCCTCAGCAAGGATGTGGTCCCAGCCTAAGCCCTCTTTACCCCACAGTTTCTTCTAATGAACAGGGGTAGCTGTTATGGGACTGGAATATCTGCCCTCCACCAACCCTCCCAACTATGCTCCTCCTAATGGGATGAGCCAGTTTCTAGCTTTATCTTCAGATGTCTCAAAACCCATCCCTAGTAGTAACTGCATCATCGCATGATTCATATTCTTTGAAGCAATCACTTCAGTTCCATTTTATTTATTTACTTATTTATTTTTTCTAGTCAAGTGAAGCAGTGGGAGTGGAGAAGGAACAAAGGAATTTGTAACTGGTTATGATCAATTAGTTGTAAACACCACTGCACTCGGACCAACTTATTTATTTTTATTTATTTATTTATTTTTTGAGACAGAGTCATCCTGGGATTAAGTGTCATGGCATCATCATAGCTTACAGCAACTTCAAACTCTTAGGCTCAAGAGATCTTTAAAGTATGTTTTTTCCTCAGTTCCCGTTTATAAAAATACTCTACCCCCAAATGACTCCATGTTTGTAAAGTCTGTCTACTAACTCCTTTGTGTCTCAAAGTAATTGACTCCTCACCTTTTAGTGTGTGGCTCTAAGTTATGACCAAAAGATAATCAGCTTGTGACCACATGGAGCCAGTATCATTCAAGCAGATGCAAAGACATGGGTTGGGCTAGGATTTTGATAGATCATTTTTTTTCAAATATTGAAGCTAGTTTGACAAACACTATCTCTACCTTAAGTACTCGGGAACCTCAGGAGAGGACCCAGTAAGTAAATCCTTGTCACCACTGGGAATCTGGCCCTTGGGGACATTTCCTTATAGCCATGGCTATGATTTCCTTTATAAATGAGCAAAGAAAGATGGCCCAGAGAGGAAAAGCTATTATCTGAGCCACTAAGCCCTACTGGCCACTGATTGCATTTAGCCAGACCTGCATTGTGTAGAGTTTTCCAAAGTTGGGGTTCCTTCCTCATCAGAAAGCCTGGGCCACAGTCACAAACTCCTCTGGGGTCAATGGATCAGCTGGGAAAGGCTAAGCCAACAGGGCGAGTAAAATGAAAGGTACTGACTAAGCTTATCTGATTGCCTCAGAAGACCCTGGGCATCGCAAACCCATCCTCACCTGCAACTTGCAGGGTCACAGTGTCCTCTCTGCTCTGGTTTCCAATGCGGACTAGACATCGGAAAGCCCCTCGATCCTCAAGGCTCACGCTGTAGATGCGCAGAGTGACACTTCCCTCTTGGGTGTCTCTCACCAGTGCCGTCCTCCCCTTATATTCTGGCATCAGATCTTCATCCCATTCCTTCCCATCCCGAAACACGTGAACAACCTGAGAGCTCTGTGGTGGTGGGGACCGCAACCACCTCACCTCCTCTGGCACCATCCCAGGCCAGAGAGAGACAGGACAGAGTAGGTTGGCTGTGCCTCCCAGTGGGACTGGGTGGAATGTGCTGGCATCCCCCATGCCTGTGGACAGAAAGGGACAAGGCAATCTGGGTGGGAGGGATACAGGAGAAAAAGCTGGAACAGGAATGAGGAACAGCATATCTTGGAGAAGGACCCAGAGCCTGACCGCCCCCACCAAAAATAAATAAATAAGGAGGACAGAGAGTAATGGGGGAAGAACACAACCCACAAATAAATAAGGTCTCTGGCCAAGCCTCCTGGAGATGCCATTGTCAGATGTCCCAGGCAGAGGTTCAGAAACTCCTACCTGGCTTGGCGCCTGTGGCTCAAACGGCTAAGGCGCCAGCCACATACACCTAAGGTGGTGGGTTCGAATCCCCAGCCCAGGCACTCTAGCCTGGGCTAAGAGAGTGAGAATCTGTCTCTAAAATGACATACCTGGCTTGGCGCCTGTGGCTCAAGTGGCTAAGGCGCCAGC